TTTACCTTTACCTATGGGTGGACTTATGCATAATTTTAAGATATTTTTCTTTTTGTGACTGTCTCCATTTTTAAACTACAGTTTACACCAAGAAAAATCTCCTAAAAGTATTTTATAATTTTAACTCAGGTTAACTGCAGGAGGTCTTTTCTTACCCCCTCTTCTCTGTTCCTATAAAACCCAGTGCACTACCCTGAAACAGTTTAGCAACACTGGTAATCCCAGGTACTTGGCAGCTAATTCAAGTACTACTTTTAAAAAATGATGGGCCGCGGGGGCCGGCCCCGTGGCTTAGCAGTTAAGTGCGTGCGCTCCACTGCTGGCGGCCCGGGTTCAGATCCCGGGCGCGCACCGATGCACCACTTCTCCGGCCATGCTGAGGCCGCGTCCCACATACAGCAACTAGAAGGATGTGCAGCTATGACATACAACTATCTACTGGGGCTTTGGGGGGACAAAAAAAATGATGGGCCGGCCCCGTGGCTTAGTGGTTAAGTGTGCATGCTCCGCTACTGGGGACCCGGGTTCGGATCCCGGGCATGTACCATCGCACCGCTTCTCCTGCCATGCTGAGGCCACGTCCCACACACAGCAACTAGAAGGATGTGCAACTACGACATACAACTATCTACTGGGGCTTTGGGGAGAAAAAGGGGAAAAAAAAAGGAGGAGGATTGGCAATAGATGTTAGCTCAGGGCCGGTCTTCCTCAGCAAAAAGAGGAGGATTAGCATGGATGTCAGCTCAGGGTTGATCTTCCTCACAAATAAATAAATAAAATAAATAAATAAAATAAAAATTGATGATGATGGTAATGATGTTGATAAATATGTATACAAGACTGTGGAGTCCTGTACCTGAAATAATCTCTCTTTTCTATAACTAAGCTGCGTGCTTTCAGCTGCTTAGTGAGATGCTGTGCTCTTTTTGCACTTCCCTGTGAATAATACTTTGAGCCTAAATTGTGAATAAATTGACAATGTCTTCTAAATACAACAAGAACAACAAACCCAGTGTATATTTCTATCAGTGCCTACCCCCACCCCTAAGTTTTGTAATTCTTTGTTTATATTTCTCTCTTTTCCTCTAGCCTCTGAGCCCTTGAAGCTGGGGCTGTGTTTTATTAACCTCTGTGACTGAATGCCTAGGGGAATTCCTAGCATATAACAGGAGAGTGGCCATGCTATAAATCTGTGAGGAATCAATGAAAGAATGGGAATCCCCAGGTATTCATTTATTCATGCGTGTACACACTCACCCCTACTCTGTGCCATCCTAGGCACTGAGGATGTAACCATGAACATCTGTAAGTTTGGAATATAAAAGGACTATGATTTAATTACTTGAATATGATCAAATAATATATTTAAAAGCCAAAATTAAAAGACATGGAACCAAGAAGGCAACATAGACCCAACTAGTTTTGTACAGTGAAACGTTCATCCTAACTAGAAAACAATTGCATTACTATGAAAGCCAGAAGCAGTGTCCTTAATAGACTTCTTTCTCAGCAGGCACCCGATCTTAACTCCATTTGAAAAGCTTGAAATAAAAAGACTGCTCTTGGCTTTTTTTCTTTCTCCAAATCTCGTGATTTGGGATCAGAATCACAAGTTGGCAAACCTACACAGAGTTTGTAGCATTCTGTTTTAAGCAGACTCTGTTGAACTACAAGTAGAATCAAGTGTTTTCATCACAGCTGGATTTTCACCTCCTCTGCCAGCTGTGGAGCCCACTTGCCGGTAATTAGTCAATAGGTGTTCGCCTTCTAGCTGCATTCCTATGGCATTAAGGCAGGTATTTCCACAGAGAAGAATGTAACTCTGAAATAGGCTCCCTTGATTGTTACTGTTATGGTGGTCTTAAGTTCATCTAGCAAGAGTTACTAATGAAAGGGCCGGCCGCCTGGCTTAGCGGTTAAGTGTGCGCGCTCCGCTACTGGCTGCCCGGGTTCGGATCCCGGGCACACACCGACGCACCGCTTCTCCGGCCATGCTAAGGCTGCGTCCCACATACAGCAACTAGAAGGATGTGCAACTATGACATACAACTATCTACTGGGGCTTTGAGGGGGGAAAAAAAAAAGGAGGA